TTTGGCTTTATTCCTAAACAAGTAAAAAAAGTAGTTAAGATCGGCCGGGTCGAACTTTGTTTACCCTTAACCGTTCGGAAGGAACGTAAAAAGATCCAGAAAACTGCTCTAATAAAACCTTTTATGGGGGCTATACGAAAACGTGGTGCCGTATAATTTTTTGGCCTAGGCTGTAGTAACGATTCCAAACTTCAAATACGAAATTTGACGCAAATACGGTGAATAATGTCTCTAATTTCATCAAAATACCAAATAAATGGAGGTACCGTTGTATGTGGTCTATACTAAGACGTGGACCTGCATAGACAAATTTTCGTCGTAGGTTGTAGTACCCATTACGAACTTCAAATACGAAATTTGACGCAATTCCAGTAATACCGAATACCTCGGTGTACCTTTATATGAGTGCTATAGTAAAACGTTGACCTATATAGACAATTCTCTTCCAGGGGGTAAAGTACTCACACTGAAGTCCTTGTGTAGAATTTCAGAAAATTTCATTGATAATGAGACTAAAATCATTTAAATACCGAATGTTGGGAGGTACTGTTATATGGGGGATATACGATATCGTGCTATATAAACAATTTTCTTTCAGGGGGTAAAGTACTCACAGAGAACTTTTTTCGGAGATTTCATTGTAAAATGTGACTAAAATCATCAAAATATCGTGAACATATATAGACAAATCTCTTTCAGGGGGTATAGTACTCACAGAGAACTTCTTTCGGACAATTTCATCAAAATTCCGAATGTTGGGAGGTACAGTTATATGGAGGATATACGATATATATCGTGAAACTATATAAACAATTTTTTTCAGACTGAAAGGGCTCAGTGCTTAAATCCTCGTGTGGATTTTAAGCCAATTCCATTGAAAAATGTGGCTAAAACCATCAAAATACCCAATATCGGGGGGCACCTTTGTATGAGGGCTATACTATATCGTGGACCTATATAGACAATTCTCTTTCAGGGGGTAAAGTACTCACAGTAAACTCCTTGTGTAGAATTTCCGATAATTCCATTGGAAAATGTGGTTAAAATCATCAGAATACCGAATTTAGGGGTATCGTTATATGGGGGCTATACGATATCATGGACTGATATAGCCTGCTTGCAGACAAAAGACAGATCGGTGCAAAATTTTAGCTTCCTATCTTTATTCTTTTGACTCTGGCGTGATTAAAACAGACGGACGGACGGAGGGACAGGTCTAAGAATATTACGCTGATCAAGACCCTACATACTATGTATGGTGGAGGGTATAAAAAGGACATCATCGTACCACATTTGTAGCTTTTGAGAATTTTCAAAAGTGTAGAAGTTTCCTAAGAACCCTTTGCTAAATCTATGCTACAATTCCCCAGTGACCCTTTATACCAAATTTTGAGAATTCTAGCTTAATCCGTCCGTCAAATATAAATGGTTCAATATTTAGTACCTTTTAGTACTTTTCGTACCCTTCTAGTACGAATTTCCATTTAAGAAATTAGGCATGTAAACCTGCAAAATACACATTTGTACAAACTCTTAGCCTTCTATCTCAATACGTTCGAAAGACAGCGGGATTATAACAGACAAATAGACAGCCAGACTGAAGGACATTGCTTTACCGCCACAAGGGTCTTATGTCCAAATGTGAAATACTAGATATCAGTCGGTTATACCAAAAATTTATGAAAATTTTTGACGTTGTTAAATAAAATCGTACTCTAGGAGGGTGTTTGGTAATGGTATTCAAAGAAATTATGCTTATTGGGATAAATTTATACCTGGCGCCCAATTACTTCGTCAATGTTCTAGAGCGAAGATAGAAAATTAATTTTCTATAAATAATTAATTAATTAAGTAAATAAATTTCTAAAGTAGGTCAGTGCCGAATTTTTGATATCCTATGAAATTTTGCATGATAAAATATTTTTGATTGAACCGATTAGCGTTACTATACCTTTAACTGTATGGTTGCAGAGGGTCTACCCTTGATCACTTTGGATCAAATCCGTTTCAGGACATTTATCTGTCTGGCTGGTGCACACGATAACTATGGAATACAGTATCCGATTTGATCCAAACTTGGTACATCGTAACATAAATACCAAACTTAGATCGAGTTCAATGCTGGGCAATATAGGTCCACTTCATGTGGTACCTCCCCCATAAAAGGTCAACATTTTCATAGAAAATAATTTAATTCATGCAACAAGAAAGAATCATCCAGTTTCATTCAAACTTTACAAATCCTAATATCCGTAACAGTACTGGGTTGGTTGCGAAAATGTACAATGTCGGCCCACCACATTAAGTACCTCCCCCCAAAAGGTCAAATTTTTGAAGAATTATAAAATATGAAATAAGAGTCCGATTTGCATCAAAATTGGAGCATCTAAATATTTGTACCAACACAAGATCTGGTATAAAGAATAAGTATTTTTATAGTCGCCATATAACGGTACCTACCGATATTTGGTATTTTGATGATTATTGTCACATTTTTCCACGGATTTGGCAAAAAAATTGGCATTTTTAGTTCATAATGGGTTCTAGTTTCGGTGGAAGAACATTGAATATTTAGATCTACGTTTTCCTATGGCGCACATATTACGATACGCACCGATATTCGAAATTTTGATAATCCTACTCACATTGGTATTTAAGAAGATTTGTTAGATGACATTCCTTGAAGTATAAAACTGCCTATATTGTTTCCCGTTTTGGTATGGTCCGCATATGTATAACGACCATTGTAGTTCAAACTGAAAGACGTTTGAATTCAGATTATTTTATGTAAAAACTTAAAAAAAACCGGCCGAACTTAATGTTTTTTACTTGCTATTCTATACCCTCCACCATAGTATGGAGGGTATATTAAGTTTGTCATTCCGTTTGTAACACCTCGAAATATACATTTTAGACCCCACAAAGTATATATATTCTTGATCAGCATACAATTCTATGTCGATTTATCAATGTCCGTCCGTCTGTCCGTCTGTGGAAATCACTCTAGCTTCCGAACGAAATGAAGGTAGATTGATAAAATTTTACTCAAATGTGTACTATATCTGCAGGACTTTTGGTATTGAAAATGGGCCATGTAGGTCCACGTCTTCGTATAGCCCCCATATAACGGTACCTCCCGATATGCGGTATTTTGATGATTCTAGCGACATTTGTTACTGGGATTGTTTCAAAATTAATATTTAAAGTTCATAATAGATGCTACGGCTTAAGACAGAGAATGGGCTATGTAGGTCCACGTCTTCGTATAGCCCCCATGTAACGGTACCTCCCGATATTCGGTATTTTTATCATTTTAGCGACATTATTTACCGGAGTTGTTTCAGTTTTAGTATTTGAAGTTCGTAATGAATACTACATCCTAAGACAAAAAATGAGCCATGTAGGTCCACGTCTTCGTATTGCCCCCATATAACGGTACCTCCCGATATTCGGTAGTTTGATGATTTTAGCGGCATTATTTACCGGAATTGTTTCACATTTTGCATTTGAAGTTCATAATGGATGCTACAGCCTATCACAGAAAGTTGTCTGTGCAGGTCCACGCCTTCGTATAGCCCCCATATAACTGTACCCCCCGATCTTCGGTATTTTCATGATTTTAGCGACATTATTTACCGGAATTGTTTCAACTTTCGCATTTGAAGTTCGTGAAGTTCGATATTACAGCCTATGACAGAAAATTGCCTGTGCATTATAAACAGATTTTTTTTTCAAGTTTCGCATTTGAATATTGTAATAGCTTGTGACAAAAGTTGCCTATGCAGGTCCACATCGTCGTATAGACTCTAATATACGGCTACATTAGGTATTTTCAAGATTTTTAAGGGATTTTATTTTTTTTTTGAAAATTGTTAAATTTGTACCAAATGGTGGAGGGTATTCAAAGTTCGGCCCGGCCGAACTTACTGCTTTTTTACTTGTTTAACGTCAACTTCTCTACATCCGTTTCCTGTAAATGAAAAACGACAGACGGATAATCTGAATGTCCTAAATATCATTAAATGTATGCTAATTTTCATAGTCGATATTCCTGTCAATTTCGAATGTCTTTTTCCTTCTCATACTTCCGTAAAGTTTTCTCTGTATTTTTGTTATTTTAAAAATCGCTGCTATTGCAATGCACACATTGGTTTTTGTGTTATGGCAAAGTGCACTGTGGTACGTACAAATTATTTAAATGAAAGCAGTTGTTGTTGTTGTATTGAGATGCAATATACTTGTAGCTGATAATGATGTATTTTTTGCTGTTGTTGTAACTTGTTGTAATTTGATCTATTATTATTGGTATGAACTTACAAAAGCCGCCATCTTCTCTATCTATATTTCTAAATATAGATTCGCTATTAACGAGCTGGCGAACACTCACACACACGCACACATACAAACAACATGCATATTTTGAAAATGTGAGAAAATGTCATTCGAATTTTTGTCAAAATAAACGCTGCTTGACAATGGATTCGAAACTTATCCAGTAGCCACTCGAGTTGGGACCCCATTGAAAATGATGATAGTGATGATCGTGAGAGCATGGTTGGTCGGTAGTGATGATAATGATGATTGACTGACTGACTGACTGAGTGTTCGGTTGATTGTTTGTTTAATGATGTAAGAACTTATAAAACAACACATATAAAATGAGCTTAATGTGGAAATTCGTCGCGCAGAAAACATCGCCTCGAGGGAAAGGTATGACAATTTGAGAATAGTTACTACAAAGTTTGGATCAGTGATACTGGGTTGTGATGAGAGGAAGAAAATATTGGATGATGCTATGTTAGTAGGAGTACGAAAAAGATGTATGAATTCTAGTTTTCAATGCTGTGATGATGATGCTATGAAGAGGACGCCAGGTTAGAGGTTTCAAGTTTAGATGAAAGTTTTCTATGTTCAAAATCGATTTTGTTTTGGTTCTCTGGAGAGTTAGGATTTACGCAGTGTAAGGCTGACCAGCAATACACCCACGGCAAGATAATTACCATTGTTTTCGGAGCGTGAATATGAGGGCCTAGTGTAGGAAGGCATGTCGGTGGCAGCATTGTAACCATTCGATGCTGCAGCTGTAGATTGGGCATCCTCGGTGGCAGCAGGTGCAGTGCTAACCACAGCGGGAGCACTGTAAACGCTGGCTGATCGAGTTCCCAATACCGATGCCGCTGTGCTGCGTCCCGTTGTCCATTCATTGCCAGCCGCAGCGGTGGTATTGTTAAGGACTCCTCCCATACCTCCGGTCGTGGTATCTGTAATATTCCTTATCTTTGTATTGCCTGTATTTTGGCTACTTTGTCCCAGACTTGTGGTGGCTGTGGGATTACTGTTGCTAGCGGTATTGGTTGTGTCCATGCGTGTTATGGTCTCAATGGAGGTTGAGCTGCCATAAATGTAGCTGGACTTATCCTTGTTGGAGGCCGTCGAACTGTGATAGGTGTGACTGGAGTTGGTGGCCACTGAGGCTGCCTGCTGTGGTGGTGGAGGCGGTGGCCTCGAGGGTGGTGGTGGCGACTTGAAGTTGCTATCGGTGCGAACATTGATGCGCGATGAAATCGATGAGGCCGATATCGACGATGATGATGTGGTGGAAGATGTGCTAGCCAGTGTTGCTGTGGTGGTACTGGCCTTTACCGCTCCCTTGTCGAAGGGATTGACACGTTCCTGTGGCTCAAAGTTGGTGACCGGTTTGTATTTGGATTCATCTAAAACGCTGGAAGCGGGTTTGCTGCTCGAACTGACACTGCCGGCGGTCAGTGTTGAGGTGGACGAAGTGTCCGAACGGGCATCGGCAGCCCCCTCAGATGTCTTCGGCTGTGGCTGGGCGGAGATCACCGAATCGCCAAGTCCTGAAGATGTCGAGGCACTGGTCTTACCCGAGGCGAATGAAAATTGCTTACCCAAAAACGAGCTGCCGGCACTTGTAATGCCGCTGACATTAATGCCAGCCACACTACCGCGACCGCTGTCGCCACCGCCGCTGCTGCTGCTGATACCACCACCGATACCATTGGCCGACTCGCTCGCCGTTCTTCCGCGTTTTTTGTTCGCTAATTCCTACATGTCACCAAATATGCCCGCAAAGGTCTTCCTCAAGTTCTTCATGGTGTCCTCCGCATCCTCGACCACCGAGGTCTGGGTTTGCGGAGGACGTTGTTGGGTCCTGGAGGCCGAGGATATGCTCGAAGCCTGCGATGTCTGAGAGTCACGTCGTGGAACGCTGCCAGCTGAGGGTGGAGCTTCTTCGGGTACTTCCGAAATGCTGCTGCGGCTACTAAGCCGTCCAATGGAACCCACAGCTGGTGAAGTGCGTTCCGGTATGGGTGGTGGTCCACCCATGGGAGCTGGACGAGGGCCAGTGGGAGCGGTTGGTGGATGACCGATTTCATCAGTGGGGCTTTGGCCACGAGATGATACCGATGGAAGTTTGCTGTGGTGGCCACCAACAGATTGCTGTTGATTCATGCCAGGGCGACAGACATTCTGAAAATAGAATAACAACCAAATTAATAGCTATTTCCAAATCATCTCCTCTGTTGGAAACCCACCTGCATACGAGAAGTAACCAAATCAGCAATTTGTCTTCGATCATCCTCCTGGGAGTCACCCATCAGAGCAAAAGTACTATCCGAAGCCTTAATAATGTGTTCACGACCATCTTTTCCCACCACCACAGATACACCACACACTTCCATGCCACCGAATAGTTCGGAGATCTACAAACATTTGAAAAGGTTATTAATAGGAATGTAAATTCGCTTACGTTTTCATATCCAATTACGCGTCGAAAGTTCACTTACCTCATCCACCCATGTCTTATACTTCTCTGTTAGGGTAATTTGTTCCAGCATAGCTGAACCTTGATTTGTTTTCCAATTGCCGGTAATGGATTTACGCCTAAATAAACGAAAAAAAAAAAAAAAAATATGATGCATAAATTTTCAAATTACGTTTTCATTTCGATTTATTTTCTAATGCTGAATAAAGCGATTACGCAGAAGTTCGTTGACATTTAATACGGAGATGCTCTTCAATTACTTGTCTTATATTCATAATCGGCAGTCAGCATAATTTAATGGTATGTATGGCGTATGATCTTCGGGTTCTCTCCGTGAACACCTTCAAGTCTTCTCTGAGAAATCCTTGAAGACTTTTCTGAGGAGTCCTTCAAATCTTCTCTGAGAAGTCTTCGAGTCTTTTCTGAGAAGTCCTTCAAGTTTTTACTGAGAAGACCATCAAGTTTTCTCTGAGAAGATCGTCAAGTTTTCTCTGAGAAGACAATTAAGTTGTCTCTGAGAAAACTTCAAGCCTTCTCTGAGAAGACCTTCAAGTGAGAGAAAACCTTCTGGCATTCAATGAGAAAACCTCCTGGCCTTCTATGAGAAGACCTTCTGGCCTTCTATGAGAAGACCTTCTGGCCTTCTATGAGAAGACCTTCTGGCCTTCTATGAGAAGACCTTCAGGCCTTCTATGAGAAGACCTTCTGGCCTTCTATGAGAAGACCTTCTGGCCTTCTATGAGAAGACCTTCTGGCCTTCTATGAGAAGACCTTCTGGCCTTTTATGAGAAGACCTTCTGGCCTTCTATGAGAAGACCTTCTGGCCTTCTATGAGAAGACCTTCTGGCCTTTTATGAGAAGACCTTCTGGCCTTCTATGAGAAGACCTTCTGGCCTTCTATGAGAAGACCTTCTGGCCTTCTATGAGAAGACCTTCTGGCCTTCTATGAGAAGACCTTCTGGCCTTCTATGAGAAGACCTTCTGGCCTTCTATGAGAAGACCTTCTGGCCTTCTATGAGAAGACCTTCTGGTCTTCTAAACGAAGACCTTCTTGTCTTCTAAACGAAGACCTTGTGGTCTTCTATGAGAAGACCTTCTGGCCTTCTATGAGAAGACCTTCTGGCCTTCTATGAGAAGACCTTCAGCTCTTCTATGAGAAGACCTTCAGCTCTTCTATGAGAAGACCTTCAGCTCTTCTATGAGAAGACCTTCAGCTCTTCTATGAGAAGACCTTCAGCTCTTCTATGAGAAGACCTTCAGCTCTTCTATGAGAAGACCTTCAGCTCTTCTATGAGAAGACCTTCAGCTCTTCTATGAGAAGACCTTCAGCTCTTCTATGAGAAGACCTTCAGCTCTTCTATGAGAAGACCTTCAGCTCTTCTATGAGAAGACCTTCAGCTCTTCTATGAGAGGAAGACCTTCAGCTCTTCTATGAGAGGAAGACCTTCAGCTCTTCTATGAGAGGAAGACCTTCAGCTCTTCTATGAGAGGAAGACCTTCAGCTCTTCTATGAGAGGAAGACCTTCAGCTCTTCTATGAGAGGAAGACCTTCAGCTCTTCTATGAGAGGAAGACCTTCAGCTCTTCTATGAGAGGAAGACCTTCTGGTCTTCTATGAGAAGATCTTCAGCTCTTCTAGGAGAAGATCTTCAGCTCTTCTATGAGAAGTCTTTTTGCTCTTCTGTGAGAAGTATTTTTTCTCTTCTGTGAGAAGACTTTTTGCTCTTCTGTGAGAAGACCTTCTGGTCTATTGAGAGAAGGGTATTTTATTAGAAGTCCTTCAGGTCTTCAATGACAATACCTTCTGGCCTTTAATGAGAAGACCTTTTGTTGTTTTTTTTTATATTCTCCACATTAAACTTTCAAAACGACGATACACGTGTCTTTTATTTTCTTTCTTGTAATTCTTGAAAAATTTGAAATTTGTCGCACAGTGAAATTATAGCTTTTGTATGACACGGAATTCCCATGTCCCAGAGTGGAGTTAATAACACGCTTGGTGATCTCATGCCCGGTATATGCCTGCATATATGAAAACCCAAAACCAAATTTAACTGACGACAATATTGTCCTCCCCAAAATGAAATGGGACACATTGTAATGGAGTTCGTGACATATTTGGCTCGAAAATAAAACACAAAATCATTTTAAATTAATTTTTGGGACACGAGCTATGAATTTCATGAACATTTTGCAATAATGTTTCTCAACTTCAGGGCTATTTAAAATAATGGTCATCAATATTGCCACATTCGGAGTCATCATAAACACCAATAACTTTTTATTTTAGGAAACAAATGATAGCCTCCTGTGCCCCCCACCTCTCGGGGCACACACAGTTCATACATACTTACATGAAAGCCTTATAATTGCTGCCAATCTTTTGGATGTGAACATCGAATTTCGCATCGATGTACGGTTCAATTGTACAGTAACAATGTCCTTCAAAACCAGTGCCAGACACCAGACCGGCAGCGTCTTGTAGACCCATTTGGTTATCAAAGCGGGCCGTAGCCATGCCGCCATGACAATGGCCAGCCTTTAGTACACAGGGGAACTTGGTCCAATTAAGCTGCAATGGCAAAAAAAGAAGAGGAGAAACAAAAAGAATAAGAAAATTGAAAAATGTGAAAACAAAAAACAATTAAATACTTTGTATATCCTTAGAGAAGTAGAGACAATGCTTGCGAGGGGGTCGAGATGTCAAAGCTGATATATATCGCTGAAATGAGGTTCTGTTTTTGTGCAAAATCTCTTTTTGTTTTGTTTTTATTTTCTATGAAAGGTCGAGCGACCAGCCTCCAATTCATATTGAATTGAAGGGCAATTAGTCAAAAGTTTGTTTTTATTTATTTATTTTTTTTTGTTTTATTTGCCCCTCATATCCGCACATATGTGACCACTTAGCCGTCCAGCGTTTACGGCGCTTATTCACAAATGCGAGTACATTTTGGCCAATGGCCAATTATTTATTAGTGTCTAAGTGCAGCAAAGTGAATTCTAAGAAATTTTGTTTATTATTATTATTGTTTTATGAAACACATGAGAGCGGAACAAAAGCGAGAAATTAAGAGGCGCCACCTTTTGCCCTCTTCTTGAAGCACCGTGGATGTTGCATGTGCCGGCTGCCAAGAGGATTTATGTACATTTTACGCCTGTAAAGACCTTGGCCAATAGAATTGAATTTAATGCCTGGCAGAAGATTTCGTTATTCATAAAAATTATTCATCAGCTAATTAGGCAAATCCGCTTACATCAATTTTTATTTTCTTAAAAATTTTTTGTGTTCCGTTGATAATTTAGTTATTTTTATTTCTTTACACATTAAGTGTTTAAATGGAATTGGTTTTTAAAATAAACCGTTTCCGTTTTAGCTATTTGTGCATTTATTTGCAACATGCGGAAGTGAGGGGGGAAAAAGAAGTTTTTCCATAAATAGAGGACCTTTCAAAAAGTCTTCAGTAGGTAGAGGACCTTTGAAAGCTCTTCCATGGACAACCAATATTTGCAAATCGATAGGAAGATCCTTTCTAAGTCTCCTATAGGGATAGAGAGAGACAATATGCGAACATGAGGGAAGAAAGAGATAGTTTTCCATAAACAGAGGACCTTTCCTATAGGGATAGAAAGAGACAATATGCGAACATGAGGGAAGAAAGAGATGGTTTTCCATAAACAGAGGACCTTTCAAAAGTCTTCATTTGGCAGAAGATCTTTAAAAGGTCTTCCATGGACAACCAATGTTTGCAAATCTAGCCCTCTATAGAGAGAGAGAGAGAGAGAGAGAGAGAAAGCCAATTTGAGTCTTTAAAGAGCGTCTAGGGGCCAAATACCTTTTAGATGACATTTTGGGCGAAAAAGACACTTCAAGGGTCAATTAGACAAAAATGCCATTTTTTAAGGTTTTCTAGAGGCAGATTATCCTTCAAAGTTCCTTTAAAATTGGAATCGTTTTCATGACAATGAGGCTTTTTAAAACCTTCCTGAAGACAAAAGCCCATTCAAAGGTCTTCCATAGAAAGCAACCGCTTTAAAAGCCTCCCAAAAAATTGAGGTCTTTTTGAAGGTCTTCTAGTCGACAAGGACATAAAGGGACTTCTAATGATAGACATGGAAGAAAAAGAAAAAAATGCGTATAGGCAATCTAACCTTCAAAAGCATTGTAGCGAAAAGACCTTCTACAAAGGAAGATCCTTTAAAGGTCTTCTGGAGAAAGAACATACATTTTGACGACTTGTAGAGAATGACAGAATGACTTCCGGAATGACCTTCGGTTGGCCATCAGAACTCAAGCGCCGGCCATGGTTATGGTGTGGGCCGCTATAACAGCCGATGGTCGCTTTCTGCTCGTATTAATCGACCGTGGCATCAGAATAAATGCCTAATATTATCGCGAAAATATTCTGGAGGGTATATTAAAGCTTTGGGCACGCAAACATTTTGGCCGCAGACCTTAAACATTCAACAGAACCATCGCACTCAGCACGCGCCACCCAAGAATAGTTACAAAATGAGATTCCTTGCTTCATTCCCAGCGCACAATGACCACCAAAATCTCCGGATACCAATCCGTTGGACTATTGTGTCTGGAGTATTTCGGAAAGCAAGGTTGGCACAAAAAAATACCAAATGGTCGATCAGCTTAAGCCAATCCCGGCCCAAAATACCGCAGAGCAACATTCGGGCAGCGTGTGGCGGTTTCATTGGCCGTTTGAAGGTCATAATTCGTGACAAAGATGACCAATTCAAACAAATCTAATCTAAAAGTTGATGCTGTTTCCGACAATTTTTGCTTTGATTCAATAAAAAAATGTAAAAATTATGGCGTTTGACTTTGTTGCAGTTTTTTATCTCACCATGTATAGGGAGAGAGAGAAATATGATATTTAAAGCGATTTTGAGTCTTTAAAGAGGCCATTTAGAGGCCAAAGATTCCTTTGAGGGACTTTTGGGGGAAGAAGACACTTCAAAAGTCAATTAGACAGAAAGTTCTACTAAAGGTTTTTTGGAGGCAGAGTATCCTTTAAAGTTCCTGTAGTGATCGGATCGTCTTCATGACACGGAGGCTTTTTATAACCTTTCTGAATACAAAAGACCATTTAAAGGTCTTCCATAGAAAGCAACCGCTTTAAAGGCCCTCAAAAAAATGGAGGTCCTCTAAAGGTTCTATGCGACAAGGACATTAAGGGACTTCTAAGGACAGAAATGAGAAAAAGATAAAATTTACATAGAGACAATATAACCTTCAAAACCATTCTAGCGAAAATGCCTTCAACAAAGGAAGACCCTTTATAGGTCTTCTGGAGAGAGATCACACATTTTGACGACTTTTAAAGACGGAAGGCCCTTTAAGTATCTTCTTTAAAAATATTTTAGGGACGGATTGTCTTTTTGACACGGAAGAAAAAAGCCCATTTAAAGGTCTTGTAGAGAAAGAAGATGCATTGACGATCCCCAAACAATAAAGGTCCCGCTGAAGTTTTTCAGGGCGAAAAGGACACAAAAAGTGACTGAATAGAAAATCCTTTAAAGGCCTTGTTGAGGCAGAACATATTTCAGTCTTTATTGGTACAGAGAAAGTGTCTTTTGGAGACATAAAAGATTTTAAAAGCCTTCTAGAAACAGATCGACGAAAGACATTTAAGAAGTAGAAGACCAATTATAATTATATTTTATATCCAAATCTGAAGCGATCTTGACACAACTTTGTGCACATATTTCTGACATCTTGTACCAAATATCATTGTTATGGAGTGCATATTACGCATGTGAGGGACGTTAACACCATATCGGATGAAACATGTATATGGGAGCTATAGCTATATCTGAACCGATTTTCACCAAACATTCGCATGTGAGGGACTTAAAACTCCAATTTGGATGAAACATATATATGTGAGCTATATTTGAACCAATTTTCTCCAAATTTGATGTACTTGCTTCTGGACGGAATTCGGTCGGATGTGCTAAAATTCAGATCAATTGGCCTGATATTGGCCATTCGGTGCACAATTAACCCAAAATCGGTTGAAGATATATATGGGACCAATTTCAACAGGTTTTGTCCTTCGTCCAAACAAATATTGTTTGGAAAATTTTATCTCAATCGGATAGTAAATACGACCTGCATTTTGTTCACAAAAATACATGGACGGACAGACCGACTGACATGCATAAATCGATTCAGAAAGTGATTCTATGAAGATCGTCAAAAGTAATTGTGAGTCTATCTTGCTTCCTTCTGTGCAAAGCCATAATACCCATACCACTTGTGGTGTAGGGTATAAAAATTAATTTTGTCGCACAGTGTTATTTAGTTTATGACTCTTTTTTATTGACCTACAAAGAGTTTAGAAGACTTTCCAGAGTTCTTCTACATATGTCCATTAATTGTTCTTTTTTACATAGAGTGTTTCGAATGTTAATCTTTTCATATTTTTTTTTGTTTACATTTTCAATTTATTTTGACAATCAGTTTTAAAATTGAAATTTTATTGCCAAAAAAAAACCAATCCAACAACACATTTTTAGCGACAGTGGGAAAAATATGACACATTTTCGTCTTGTCATTTGGAGACATTTTGGCACCACTTGGCACATAGTTTGAGTCAAGTGGTTCTTATCAAGTTTTTTTTTGTTTCCACTGGAAACTTTGTACTTGGAACCCATTTCTGAAGAAAAGAACTACTTTATCTAATAGTACTTTTTTAAAGATTAGCAATAAAACAGCTGTCAACTTTATCACAACTTTGTGTGTTTCACTTCCATTGATAAGTTTTTATACCCTCCACCATTGTATGGAGGGTATATTAAGTATGTCACTTGGTTGGTAAAACCTCGAAATATAAATTTTAGATCCCACAAAGTATATATATTCTTGATCAGCATAAAATTCTATGTCGATTTAGCGATGTCCGTCCGTCTGTGGAAATCACTCTAGCTTCCGAAAGAAATGAAGTATGTTGAAGTAAGTTTACCCAAATGTGTATTATGTCTGCAGGACTTTTGGTATTGAAAATGGGCTATGTAGGTCCATGTCTTCGTATAGCCCCCAAATAACTGTACCTCCCGATATTCGGCACTTTTAATGATGATAGCGACATTAATTACCGGAATTGTTTCAAATTTGGTATTTGAAGTTCGTAATGGATACTACAGCCTATGACAGAAAATTGTCTGTGCAGGTCCACTTCTTCGTATATCCCCCATATAACTGTACCTCCCTATATTCGGTATTTTGATTACTTTAGCGACATTATTCACCGGAATTGTTTCCAATTTGGTATTTGAAGTTCCAACGGGATAGTACAGCCTAAGACAGAAAAAATACTGTGCAGGTCCACATCTTTGTATAGGCCCCATATAACGGTACCTCCCGATATTCGGTAGTTTGATGATTTTAGCGACATTATTCACCGGAATTGTTTCAAATTTGGTATTTGAAGTTCGTGATGGATACTTCAGCCTATAACAGAAAATTGTCTGTGCAGGTCCATTTCTTCGTATAACCCCCATATAACTGTACCTCCCTATATTCGGTATTTTGATGATTTTAGCGAAATTATCCACCTT